TTTTTTTTTGCTATAGGGCGCGTGTGCTCGCCAGACAGAGAGACAGAAAGCGAAAAATCACCCCCTAGGGGGGATGCCACGCCGCAATTTCTTCTCCATTCTCGGGATCTTGGGCACGCACACACACACGCGCCCGGTGTGAGTTTAAGCCACCAGGTCTGGGACTCGAACCACGGTCGACTACGTGGGAGTCCAGCAACATAGCCATTAGGCTAACTGCTGGTCCCATGGTTCGTTTTTATTAAAGAATGAGATAGCGTGTGCAGTATCCATAGGGAGGAATTTCAAAATCCAACAGGATGGACTCGGAAAGTGTAAGCTTAGAATGGTGAATTAAAGGTCTAGGATTAAGAACAGCTGGGTCAGGGCTCAAAAAGGCAGACTGGAAAGGAAGACAGGTGAGGACAAAGGCCTGAAAACATAAGCATCAGGTAGCTAAAGCCCTAACCCTTCTTAGGTTACACATTAGTAAACATGTTCAGAGGAGTGAATTACTGCCCTATGGCATACGCAGATGTTAGCCTTTTAAATGTCAAAACCGGAAGAAAGGTAGGTGATAATATCTTATCCTTATTTTACAGGTAGCTTGCTTTAGTGAGGCTTCAGTTGGCATCTATACAGATTGAACCCAGAGCCCCTTTGCTTACTGTATACTCCACTCTTACTGTTTCAATTCTGGCTAGATGGCAGCCCATACATATTGTTGATTTAGTAGGGGTTCAACTTCAACACTAGTTATATTAAAAGACAAAATTGCAACTTGAAAATGTTAACTTTCTTTACTTGCATTCCAGAGTCAGGTTAAGTCTACTTGTAATAGAATGAGTGTTCTAGGTAACTGAGCAGAAGAGGTTGGTTTTATACACAAAGAAAGGTTGAGGAAAACAACAAAAAGGATTGGTCATTTCAAAGTTACTTTCCTTGTAAGGTAGGGACAAAGAGATAGAACAATAGGGAAAGAACTGAGTAGTTACCATCAGATTCCTTCTTTTATGTAAGGATTAAAACAGAACTTGTCAGGTTGATTGAAACTGACCTATTTAAGGAAACTAAATTGTTAACCTCTGGATTTCTCAGAAGGTGAAATAGCAGTTTAGCTGTGGCTTGGTAGCATGAGTGACTCCATTTTGATTTTCTGTCTGTTCTGGCCTAGCACAAGAACTTAGTCCAAAACAAGGGCCTCCTATAATTTTTAACCACTATGAGTTTTAATTCTGATAGTGTTTGGGAAAAATATGGAAATACATTCACAATACACGTAGTGTCTCTCATATCATTTTAAGTATCATCTTTATTTTTTTTTTGGAGAGGTTTTTTGCTATAGGGGGTGTGCATTCGCCTGAAAGAGACAGTGAAACAGTGAGAAATCACCCCCAGGGGTGATGGCCATGCTGCAATCCCTTCTCCTCCAATCTCTTGGGATTGTGGGCATGCACGCACACGTGCCAGCGTGAGTTTAAGTCACCAGGTTGTCAACTACATGGGAGTCCAGGGACATAGCCATTATGCTAATTGCTGGTCCCACGCTGTCATGTTCTTTAATGGTTCCTAGAGTGCATTTCAGGAGTTTTCTGTTTCTGTTCACTGTGTTAAATCAATAAATAGTGAGACTTAATGCAAACTAAGACGGCAATGGGACTGATGACATAGGAGGAATAAAGACATTACAGTGAGAGAATTCAGATTTGTTCTACTGCTGTAACTATGAAAATATAAATTATGAAACTGTTGCAACTGGTGTGTGCTTATCACAGCTTTATCACAAGATAACAAATTTGTTAAACAAGAATGCTGTCGTATTTATGTCCACTTGGTAGTCCTGGCATTTTATAGGTACTCTTAAGCACAGTATGTTAATTACTATTCACTTCTGTTCTATTTTAAAATAATTTATGGGGGACAGGAATATGGCATAGCGGTTACGTCACTAGATTCTCACTGTGGTTTGAGTCCTGGACCTAGTGGCTTGAAAATCACACATTAAAAAAAAAAAAAGAAAAAATCAAGCTGGGTGCATGTGTGCCCAAGATCCTGGGCAGAGAATAGAGGGGATTGCAGTATGGCCATCCTCCTGAGGGGTGATGTTTCACTTTCTTTCTCCTGTGTGTCTGTGTGTCTCTCTCCTGTGAACACACACATACGCTAAGGCAAAAGCCTCTAAAAAAAAAAAAAAGAAATCATTTACAGAATGCTCCGTAAAAACCTCGGTCAGATGTAGATAGACATGCCAACGCAGTGGTTACCTATCCATCACATGAAGATCTGGGCTAAAATAAACACTAATTTAAGCTTCACCTTTATTAACTCTACTCAGATTATTTTTAGTTCCTTTCTAATTATTTTTTAGAGAGATTTTTGCTATAGGGCACATGTGGTCTAGACAGGGCTAAAGAGAGACAGAAAGCAAGAACCCCCCCACTCTCCCAGGAGGGATGGCCATACTGCAATCCCTTCTCCATTCCCCTTTTGGAATTTTGGGCACGCATGCACATGTGCCCAGTGTGAGTTTCAAACCCTTGGATATTTCCAGGCTGCAGGGAAACTGCCATAAGCCATGTGGGAGTCCAGAGATATAACCACTAAGCCATCTGCTGGCCCCACATTTTCCTTTTAATGACAGAAGGTGCATATGCTGCCAGAGACATAAAGGGAGAGGAAGAAAATATGTTTACCCCCCACCAGGGGGCATAGTCCTGCTGCAGTCCCAATTCCTTTGGTTTTGGAGGTGCATGCACACCCGTCCTCGCAGCGTGCTCTTCAAGCCAGGGATGCAGATGTGAACCTTGCCCAGCCATGAGAGATAGGGCTCCCTTATCCACTAGACTCCTGGACGGTCCTTGCTCGGATTTTAAGTGTTTCTGCTATCTCCTTCAAAGAAACCAAGGTTCTCCTTTTCCTAAAACCCGGATGCAATTTTCCTGCTCCAGGTGCTAACTTCCGGTCGGGCAGGTTGGGGGGCGGGGGAGGAAGCAACGACACGCGCACGCGCTTTTCCGGGGCTGCGACCTCAAGCCCCGCCGCCGCCCGCTCCTGCGACGCCGGGAGGGGGCGCGCGAGGCCGGGCCAGGAGCGGTTGCAGCGGTTGGGGGGACTCGGCCGGCGCCATGTCAGCCGGGGGCGTTGCGGCGCTGCTGTGCTGGCTGAGCTGTTGTACCTCGGCCTTGTGGAGGTAGAGAGACGCTGGTCCTGGGAGGGCGGAGGGGCGGGCCCCGTCCCCGCTCCCTCACGCTGGCGCGGCGTCGCCTCGGAGACGGCCGCGTCTTCCCTCAGCCCCGCGAGCACCAGCGTCCCCGCCCCCCAGTGTAAGGGTGAGGGCGAAAACGAGGGACGGGTTAGCACTAAACCCGCCCTTAAAGTCCACAGGGCTGGACGGTCGCGGTTCCGTCCCGCTGCTGTTCTTTGGCCCGCTGAGCCCGTGGCAGCTCCTGCACTCGGTTCCCCCTCCTGCACCAGGAGAAGGAAAACGTGGCCAGGAGGGAATGGCAAGGAGGAGGCATTGACTAGGATAACTAGGTAGCTGATGCTTTGTATTAGGGAGTTGAGGCCCCGCTATTTAAGAGAAAGTGCTTCATAAACTGTAAACACTGTACATGTAAGGGAGGGTAATTCCTGTACAAGGCGGGCTGGTTTAGAGAAAGAAACATTATGAAGTCCTGAGGGATCCTTAATGTAAGTTTGATTTTTGTTCAGAATTCTGTAACTGCTGCATTGAGAAGTACCGACTATTTTTTTTTTTAAAGGGGGGGGGTAATATTTTTGCTATGGAATCTCTGCTGGCCGTTGAGACAAAGAGGCAGAAAACGAGAAATCAGTCACCCTGCAGAGGGAATGGCCACATGGCAATCCATTCTCCATTCTTCTCTTGGGATTCTGGGCCTGCTCGCAAGTGCACCTGGCTTGAATTTCAAGCCAATGGTCAGAGACACAAACCAGAGTTAAGTCCTGCTCTTTAACCACTACCCCACGGGTTGGTCCCAGTACTGAAATATTTATGATAGATTTTCAGCATAGGTTAAAATACACATGATTAACAGGAAAATCATATGCTGTGAATATTCTAGTTTTGCCATGAAAATAATTACTTTCTGTAATAACATTAAGATTCAGAATGCCAGTGAGCTGTAATACCACTGTAGGGTAGGGGATTTAGAAGGAAGGGATAATGATAGCAGATATTAGTAAGGATGACCTATGAGTTCAGGGATCATATCAGCTTTTTTATTTTGTACACCAGAGGTCACCAAACTTTTATAAAGGACCACCCAATATTTATTTTAGGATTTTTAGGCAGTACAGTTGACGTTACAACTACTCATTTCTCAGCCCAAGAACATACGTACAGCAGACATCAACAGTAGTAAATGGTTGTGACAGTTTGCCAAGAAAAACTTACATTCATGATTGAAGGGAATGCTAAATTTTAATTAGAGGTTAGTGAAAACAAAGTTTTTTTGTTTTGTTTTTGTTTTTTTCCATAGTAGTCATAGACTCCCTGAATTGTATTTATTTATTTGTTTATTTATTTTTGAGAGGTTTTTGCTATAGGGCACATTCACTTGCCAGAAAGACAGAGAGACAGAAAGCAAGAAGAGCTGGAGGTTGGGGGGAGAAAGAATGAGAAAGCAAGCTGCCAGGTCCAGGACTCAAACTGTGGTTGGCCATGTGGGAGTCCATTGCCCTTACCCACCACACCACTTGCTAGACCCTATTATGTTCTGTGCTATTGGTCAGTTTGGTACTCCACGAGTACCACATCTTTTTTTTCCTCCATGAGGGAGAAAGAGACCACCTCCAAAAGAGTATTCACACTGTAGTCCACCCTAACTCACAGGCCTGTATGCACGTACCAGGCATGTCCAGGGAGGTCTCTATGCAAACCTGGAACGTTTCTATGTGGGTCAGCCTTGCAGAAGGCTGTGCTCCTTGGTCAGAAAAGTCACGACACATTAAATATGTCGTGAGTTTTTTGATGACCCAATATTTCTGTGCCACCATGAGGCCCCTGTCTTAATTACTGTAGCTTCATAGTAACACATGATATCTCCTAGAGGAAGTCTTCCACTCCCTGCTCTTTTCCAGAAGGTTCCTAGTCATTCTTAGATCTTTACACTTTCACATAAATTTTGAAATTTCATTATAGGACCAGCAGATGGCATAATGGTTACATTGCTGGACTCCCAAGTAGTCAACCATGATTTTAGTCCCAGACCTGGTGCCTTAAGCCTCACGCTGGGCCACATGTGTGCATGTCCAAGATGATGGGGAGAGAATGGAGGAGAAGAGATTGTGGCATGGCATTCCAACTGGGGCATGATTGCTCGCTTTCTGTCTCTGTAAAGACAGAGAGACAGAAAGCAAGAAGAGCTGGAGGTTGGGGGGAGAAAGAATGAGAAAGCAAGCTGCCAGGTCCAGGACTCAAACTGTGGTTGGCCATGTGGGAGTCCATTGCCCTTACCCACCACACCACTTGCTAGACCCTATTATGTTCTGTGCTATTGGTCAGTTTGGTACTCCACGAGTACCACATCTTTTTTTTCCTCCATGAGGGAGAAAGAGACCACCTCCAAAAGAGTATTCACACTGTAGTCCACCCTAACTCACAGGCCTGTATGCACGTACCAGGCATGTCCAGGGAGGTCTCTATGCAAACCTGGAACGTTTCTATGTGGGTCAGCCTTGCAGAAGGCTGTGCTCCTTGGTCAGAAAAGTCACGACACATTAAATATGTCGTGAGTTTTTTGATGACCCAATATTTCTGTGCCACCATGAGGCCCCTGTCTTAATTACTGTAGCTTCATAGTAACACATGATATCTCCTAGAGGAAGTCTTCCACTCCCTGCTCTTTTCCAGAAGGTTCCTAGTCATTCTTAGATCTTTACACTTTCACATAAATTTTGAAATTTCATTATAGGACCAGCAGATGGCATAATGGTTACATTGCTGGACTCCCAAGTAGTCAACCATGATTTTAGTCCCAGACCTGGTGCCTTAAGCCTCACGCTGGGCCACATGTGTGCATGTCCAAGATGATGGGGAGAGAATGGAGGAGAAGAGATTGTGGCATGGCATTCCAACTGGGGCATGATTGCTCGCTTTCTGTCTCTGTCTCTGTCTTTCCAATAAGTATATGCACTGCTAGCAAAAATCTCTTTTAGAAAAAAAAAAGAAAAGAAAGAAGAAATTGTATTATCAAGTACCATGAAAAACTATTTTAGAATTTTGGTTGGAATTACAAAGAATCTATAGAACATTTTAGGAAGAATGACATCTTTGTGGAAATCAGATTCCTATCCAATCAACATTATACATCTCTATTTAGATCTTATGCAGAAAGGGATTCTGTTTTATTACCGTGTGCTTTTTTTAAAAAAAATAATTATTTTATTTAACTTTATTCATTTTAATTTGACCTGAGAGGGACAGAGTGAGAGAGAGACAGCAAATGAGCAAGCAAGACACTAGGTCTATGACTTGAACCACAATTGGGAGTCCAGTGCCCTTAACCACCATGCCACCTGCCAGCCCCCTACCCTGTGCTTTTAATTTATTTTTCTTATAGTATTTGCTAGGTAGGACCTTATAACAATAATTGCATCATTTTATTTTTTCGTATTTTTAAGGGAATGGTACTGTTTCCCTATGTAGAATATAGCTTGAACTAGATGTCCTGTAGATAATCATTAAGGATATTTCCTTGCATTAGTGATTTACTAAGTTTTGGTGTTTTCTTGTTTTTTTGTTTGTTTGTTTGTTTGTTTTTATTTTTTTTAGATATTTTTGCTATAGGGCACATGAGCTCACTGGAGAGACAGACAGTGAGAAATCACCCCCCAGGGGATATGGCCATGCTGCAATTCCTTCTCTATTCTCTTCTTGGGATTTTGGACACACATGCACACACACCCAGTATGAGTTTTAGGCTGCCAGGTCTGGGACTCAAACCGCAGTCAACCATGTGGGAGTCTAGTGCTTTAACCACTATGCTACCTGCTGGCCCCTGATTTACTAAGTTTTTAAATTATTAATTTATATGAAAACGTATCTCTTTATTAAAACCATTATATGATTTTTTTTTCTCTTTATTCTTTGTGGTAAATTTAAGTTGTAGAATTTTCTAATAAAATCTTTGCTTACATAGGAGAAAACCAATTTGGTCATGATTTACCATCTCTTTATACCCTACTATATGCAATATGCAAGGTTTCATTTTTGGTTTTGGTTTTGTTTTTGAGAGAGCGACTTTTGCTCCAGGGTGCATGTATTTATCAGAAAGACAGAGAAAAAGCAGGAAGTTATTCCCCCAAGGGCGGATGGCCACGCCACAATCCCTTCTCCTCCATTCTCCTCTCAGGATTTTGGGCACAGGCACATATGCCCAGTGTGAGTTTCAAGCCTCCTGGTCTGAACTAGAACCATGGTTGGCAACGTGGGAGTCCTGCACTTTAACCACTATACCATCTACTGGCCCCTGTAAGTTTTTTTCTTTGGGATTCCCGTCTATATATTTTCAGGGCCTAACTGGTGGTTCATGCTGCTGAGATTCTGTGCTTTGCAGGCTGAGACCACATGGGAGGCCTTAGTTCAGTTCTGGTCCAACGTAAAAGGTCAGGCATAGTGTCATGCACCTGTAATCCCAATGGTCTGTGAAGCTGAGGTGGGAGGATTGAGAGTAGCTTGAGACTGGTCTGGGCAACAGAGAGATTTTGACTGAAAAAGAGCCAGTTCTGGTGGTAAGTACCTGTACTCCCAGCTGGGACACTGAGACAGAAACTGTCAGGATAGTAATAAATAAAAAATTTAAAAGCATACATCTTTTTTTTTTTGTTTTGATGTCCAGTGTTAATGCTAGCTTTATAAAATGAGGTGACGGGTGTTACCTCTTAGAATTTGTATAGGATTGGGATTATTTGGTCCTTGAAAATTTTTATAAATTCGGATTAATCCCCAGGGCCTAGTGTTTAGGGCACATTTGAACTGCTTCAAATCCTTTAATAGTTGAACAACTCTTTAGACCTTTTATTTCCTCTTGAGTCAGTTTTGGTAAGGTATAAACATGCTCATTTTGTGTCATTTTTTTAAAACTGCCATATAATTGAAAATATATGCTTATGTTTGAATCTCCTTTATCTGTAATTATAACCCCTTTTATTAATATTATTTAATTGTAC